TTTTTGTGTATTACAGCTCAAAACAAAAAAAAAAAAAAAAAAAAGATACAAATCCATTTTGCGCAAAGGTCGCTGTCACACGCATTTCCATCATTGGATCGAGCGAATGCGCTCACAGCCGATCACCGTGATTGACCTGCAATTGATCACTAACCTCGCCCAGCCCTTATCTCACCACACCACATTGCATATGACTTCAGGAAGTGTGTTGGACCAGGCCCTGGAAAGCCTTTTGCATCGCCTGCGAGGCCTTTGCGACAACATGGAACCTTCCACCTTCACTGACCACGAGCTGGTTTATCTGCTGAAAGGCCAGCAAGGTAACCCTTTTATCCTGCGTGCCCGTCGCTCGCTTTCCCAGCCTGCCGCCCCGTGGCACCTGCGCTACCTGGGGCAGCCGGAGGTGGGCGACAAGAGCCGCCACGCGCTGGTGCGCAACTGCGTGGACGTGGCCGCCTCGCACAGTTTGCCCGAGTTCCTCAACGAGATGGGCTTCCGCATGGACCACGAGTTTGTGGCCAACGGGCACATTTTCCGCAAAGGCGCCATGAAAGTGGTGGTCAGCAAACTGTCGCGAATCCTGGTCCCGGGGAACACGGACAACACGGAGCGGCTGTCGCTGTCTTACTTGGTAGAGCTGAGCGTGTTGGCGCCCGCTGGCCAGGACACCGTGTCGGAGGACATGCGCAGTTTTGCGGAACAACTCAAACCTCTGGTTCACCTGGAGAAGATTGATCCCAGCAAACAGAGACATTGACGGACCTCCGCAGCATTCACGGAAATGCTCGATCTCGCCTTTTATTTTTCCATGTTTCACAAAATGCAATACACCCACGGTTGACCAAACAGCTCGTTGTCCGTTTGCTTTATTTAGGGAGGTTCCCCGCACTCAGTATAAATGATGGATGTTTTCCTGCAATTTGACTCAAGTGGCTTTGCGCCCAAAAACAATCCATCATCTCGCACTTCTCTGTAACAGTTTATAGATGAGAGGCCGTAGTTCCCACTAAGGCAATGCTTCCCAACTGTGTTTGAGTCAAGGCACCAATTTGAAACCATTCACATCTCATGACCACTAAACAAAAATACTGAAATAACGATCATCTTGACTCGGCACACTCGGTGTGAAATATGGGCCTGTTTGTTTGAATACACTCACCGGACGCCATCACTTGGCTGTACCCAAAAGTTTACAGTACCTTCTGCCATCTAACGGGATAACTTTTTTTTTTTTTTTTTTTTTTGTTCTGCCCGTTCCTGAACATTGCTGGCATCGGTGAAGAGTAGAAAAAGAAATCAACAAAACTTTTTGTAGATGGTTGGCAGCTTTGGTCAGTATGATTTATCGTATTTTGAAAAAAGTCATGTTACTAGATAAAGCTTGAACTGTTTAACTGTTACAGATGTAAGTTGCATTTTGTTTTGATGGTTTTTAAAATTGTGACATCTTTGTCACAAGCCGAGTAAGTCCCAAACGAAGGCCCAGGACCGAAATACATGACCCGCATACTCGAGCAACAATGAAACATATTGACATATTGCTAATTTCCTACTACAGCTACTCTTTTTTTTTTTTTTTTTTTTTTTTTTTTTGTATACAGTACTGTACTGTATATAAGTATAATGGACATGCCACTCTTTTGTACACTAGGGGTCACTGTTGCTCCTCAATGCGGCTGGCCTAATTGCTCTGCTTGTCTCACCACCGCAGATCATGTACAGGTTTGGTTGCCATGGAAATAATTAGCTGCGAGATCTGCCCCCCCCTCCCCGCACCCACACACACTAATTAGCTTTCTCAATTGCTTAATGATACATAGACCTGTGAAAGGCTCTCTTTCTTCCTCTCCACAAAAGCATTGATTTTCCCTCCCCTCTCCTGCTCATTGCACTGTTAACCCATTAGTGCCTCTTTCATGGGAACTTGAGCTGCGACTATTACACATGAAAGCTTCGCATCTGCCTCAGGTTCTTCCCACTTCACGCTGTGCTCCAAATTGGCCTCTCCGCCAGTGTGTCAACATTATGGCCAATCTGCAGCGCGGCGACTGAAGTAACTAATGCACATCCTGTCAGTTGACATAATAATGCGGCCAATAAGACATGAGTGCCTCTGATTATATCCGTCCAGGAAGATGCATTTGCCATGTAAAGGGACCGCCTTTGCGTGTCATGGGGGGGATGGGGGGAGCACTCGGGGCCGACGTCTGTCCGTACGAGTTGACCTAGCTGCAAATCACAGGTGATGAGAGAAAATTTGCTGAGGTGGAAATGTGGGACGGTGTGGCCGGTACACACGCTGCGCTTTCAACATCTTTTGCGTATGCAATCATGGGCCGCCAAATTAGCTACTTGACTGCAATTTAACGCGATGCAATGCAAGCGCTCTCTCAACTTCCTCCTACTGAGCCCGGGGTGTTCTCCATGCGACGAAAAATCTCTCAGTCGGTTGAGCTTCAGTTCCACACTTCTGCAAACAAAGGCAATCAAACTAAATGTACAGACAGGTAAGTTGATCTCCCGTTGCGCGCGAATGTGTTTAATGCAGAAAAAAGATTTCATTGTACATTAACTGTAATAAAATGGCTAGTTTTTTTTAATTGGCAGTTCAAACCAGCATGTTTGACATCTAACCCTCAGAGATCAATTCCACAAGTGTCTTTTGTGTTGTGTTCTTTGCACGTAACGACAGCCGTAGAACCCAAAATGAAACTTACCGCGACATGGCAGCTCAGTGCAATATGGCGATGGCATTAAAATATTATTTGCATACGCTAATTATTTTCCCCAAACGGATGCTAACACAAACATGATTGATTTTTTTCCACTAGGTGGCAGTATTGCGCAGCGCACACCTTTCTTGATTGGGTAAGTAGTTTGGCTTTATTTTATTTTGATGCTACTGAAATGTTGCTCACTGTGTGTGGTTGGTTCATCAACTAGTTTTCACGAGGGTCCCCAATTTTGCGGTGATTCAAAATGGGAATCGCCAGTGAACGGCGTTGAAGATGTCGGAACCATTCTGGCCGTTATTCTCGACCTGTTCCTTGCTCTGTGGCAATCAGCTTCCTTGACAATCATCCCACCTTTTTGTCAATGCCCTGCACCGGTACACTGGATGTGGAGCCTCCAAACCCGATAAGGGTCGCAATTTTTTTCCATCGCAGGCCATTGTTCGGTGTGCAGTTACGAGTCGCCAACTCTTATTGTTTCATGAGCTCTACTCCAGCCGCGTTGGCGGGTATCTTCACTTCTTTCTCAAATGCTGTTATCTTAACTTATTTAGTCTGCAAACAGGAACAAGCCGGTCTGTTTGGCATGATAATCTCCTTTTTGGGTTTTGTATATGGCTGTACTTGATTGGTTCCCAGCGTGACGTCGACCAATGACAGCACGAGTGGATTTATACCGTGAGCTGATTGGCTGTGTAGCCCCGCCCAGCCACCTCCTTTGTGTCTTATCACGTGGGTTACTCAAACCCTACTTCGCGGATTTTCCCGGTCCCCATTAACCTCAATAAGTCAGGGATCATTGTAGTTCATCAAGCTTTTGTACCGATCTTTTAGCAGCTATCCCTAATGATGTGGCTACTGCGTCAAGATGATGGCCGGTGATTCCAGATCATCTGGTGGATGTTTTCCAGCAAGCTGAGGGACCAAAGCGCGATGTTTCAGCTCGGCCTGAATTATGCATTAAAGAGGCAGATGCCTCCTTGCCGAAGGCTTTCTATGTCCGGCATGGGTACTCTACAGTTTCCTGGCTTTCTTCCACTTAAACTTGTGTTTAGCACAGTGCTCTTTGGTGATGAGCCGTACTCCCACTGCACCTCCGCTCCGCATCGCCGGGAGAATGGAGGCCTTGCCGGGCTAATCAGCGTCTTGGCGTCGGGCCTACTCGGCTTTCGTGGACGCGGCCAACCATTGACATGCACAAGTGAGGCCTTCAACTCCCTGCCAGAGGCAATATGTGCCGCATGCTTTATTTGGAGGAACTCTGATTCGTAGAGTGGCCCTCTCTCAATTCGCGCAACGTCACAATATTGACGAGGCTCGATCGGCTCTTGAAGGATTAATACCACACACGTCCCAGTGTTTGCCCTTTGAGGTGTTGATATTGTGGTAGTTTCTTGTGAACCAAAACTACAGGGAAAATCAGAATGTTTGGGATCATCGAGTGAAACTGTATTATTCATTCGGGTAACTGACATAATAAACATCCAGCTGATGGAGAGATTTTGTCGGCGGAGCACAGGTTTTATTTAGAATGCGTATGCATTTTGATGTCATCTTAAACTGAGTTGTATTGATTTGTTTCATTTTTGTTCTAGTTGTCAACGTCGAACTGAAGTTAGTGAATGAACATACCAAACGTTGAACAATCTCGTTTTGATAATCCACATCTACAATCCGATGAGCTCTATCTGTTTACATTTGGAAGCTTTCTCCAAATACGCTGGCCAGGATGGCAATGAGAGGGTTTGGATGGACTCCCTTGGAACACCATTTTTTTTTTTTTTTTTTCCTCGGGCATTTACCTATTAAATGTAATTAATTGGCCAAGGCAGCTAGTGATAATTAATCACATTTTGTTAGATCGAAGAAACAGGCAGAGGAGTCATTACCTGCGTGTGCCTTTTTTTTTTTCCGATTTCACCACAGTCTTAATTAAAACTCTTGGCAGCCATCGCCTTTGTCGTCTCCGAGGCTAAATATGCCAAGTTGGCAGCGCGCATGACAAGACGTCCACGTCGAAGGCGGGGATCGTGCTCGGGGCAGGAAGTCTTTAAGTCAGGCGGCGTGGGGCCAGCGCCGCCAGAGGGGCTGAAATCCAGCTTCACCTTCGAAGGAACGTCTCCAACTGTTGGCTTGGATTGGAGCCGTCTCCTTCCTGTGTCATTGCGAGCCCATATGCTTGTTTGAGTGTGCGGCTTGTGTGCTAGGAAAGGGAGAAACCACCATGGGAAAGAAAAGGGAGGGAAGGAGTCGGGGGTGGGGGGGTGGTCTTCGGCTTCTCCACACGCATCAAACTCCCCAGAGTGATCTTGTGGTTTCTTCAGCGTCCTTTTATTGCGATCCCAATGGGTAGCTTTGCAGATATTACACAACAGAGTGAGGTTGTGAGGGGCCGCTGAAGCCAAAGAAACCAGGGTGGGCTTTGGTTTTTTTGTTTTTTTTTTTTTTTGTTTGTTTTTGTTTTTGGAGGCCGGGAGGAAAAATATGTCCCTGAGCTTTTTACAAAAAGAATTCCAGGGTGCTAATTGACAGGCTCAAAAGCTGCGCCTGGTTGATGCTGCAGCTTCCTCGCTTGCGGCCGGGCGAGGTGATTACTGCTGCGAGGAACGCGCTGTTCCAGGATCAGCCGCAATGCAGCCAGCCACCATGGTTGTGGAATGTCTGGTATGGGGACAATGTCGTTTAAAAAAAACTCTCACGGCTTTGGCCGTCTCACTTTCTGACTCACTTGCTTGACTCTGACCAGATTTTCGCCTATTGTCACTCATTCTGACCCGTCGGAACGAGGCAACTCGGCTCGGCCCCTTTTGGTCAAACGATGCAGGCAGCGTAGCCGACCTTGAGGTCATTGCTGGAAACATCGGGCGTACTGGCTCAAGTGTGGGTCCGACGTGAGGTATGTGCTCGGAGTGTTGTGCCACTTTGAAGTGCCCGCTTTGTATGCAGAAGGCACATTGGCCAGACTCGCTCTCGCACACGCAAAACAATGGTTCTGATGTGGCTAGCCCGGCGCTGCGAAAAAATGCTTCGCATCAGCTCAAATGTGCTGTAGGAGGCACCGCCGCAGCTGCTCCCACCCTCACGCACAATGCGATGCCACGACTCCAGCCTCTGTCCTCTCGTTGCAAGTTCGAGGCCCGATTTGTGCAGGGAGACGAGATACAAAAACATTCTAGAAGGCCCATTCCAATGACTCCAAAGACTCTCTAAAAGAGTTAGCGCAAATGAAAACACGATGTCAGTCATTTAAGTGTATGCCAAGCCAACAGGTGGCACTGTAACCCAATGTAAACTCACCGTCATTATAGGTTCACACCGGTGGTGAATTGAACTTGTCACGTGACGTGATGACACGATTAGGGATGTCGGCAGTACCCCCGCGATATTGTCGTCATGTCGCGATTTTAAAACCAGCACCTCTGTCGTATAGGCCAGTTATTTTCCATTTCTGCAGTTCTAGCACCCTCTGGTGGTTAGTTTATTACTGCAGCTTCATTTGAAGGCACGTTTTTTTTTGGCCCCCGAAGAGGCGGCTAATCGCCAGATGAAACGTAAGATGTTTGGGTTTCTCCACAAAGTGACTCCATTCACAACGTGTGCGCGTGCGTTCGCAAGTAAGTGCCTCAATATGAAGTGTTTTTAGTGTCATCTGCCGAGCACGGCATCGTGAACGACATCGACCGAGATACTTGGCGCGTCCCACACAACATCCGAAAGTTGTTGAGCATCACAATGGAGCGTAAAAATGATCGTTGCTGTTGTGGATAACCGTAACCGCATCCAAAACTCTGACTTAGAAAAAAAAAATGTGATCATGTAAACGATGAGCAAAATAATAGTACATTATATTGTGGCGTCAGTGTGCGCGCGTCTTCAGGTGCGTGCGCGCGTGCGTATGTGTGAAAATGGGTCTTGCTGTAAAGTTCATGAATAAGTAATCAGCTTCCTTGCAGCAAGCACCAACATAACAGGTGTGAGTGTGCGTGAAATACGTGGCAGACTGCAAAATAGCCCCGGTCCAATCTTTCTGGCTGATTAAAGGTAAAAAGCTACGGAGCGGTATTCGAGCCACAAATAGAATAGTGTTCATATTCCGAATTATGCCACTGCGACGAGTTCGTTCAGACCTGCAACAATTCTTGTCGCGTTCTGACTTTATTCTGCAATAATTCCGACTCTATGCGTGAAATGTTCTCGTCATATGAGGACTTTAGGATTGTATCCGTATGACCCTGTTGTCACAACGTTATGACTTAACCATCGTAACTTGATGGCAATCATCATAGCGGAGCGCTTTTTATTCAATCCAGTAACCTTACGATGACTATAACTTTATTCTTGAATGCAATAATTTTTTTCCCCCCATCACCTTACCGCTACATCTTCATGCACGTTACGTCGTAGCTATCCTCATCACTTTATTCTCAAGTATGGCTGTAATGTTTCTATTATTCGCTGATCATCATGACTCTTCTTGAGAGATGGTTGACCCCACTTTTAATACTCACTCATAAGTATTCACCGATACCGAGTCTGGATACCGCAAGAACCTAAAATTTCCAATAAGTCAAAGCCAAATGATTGTGAACAGAATGTTCTTTCTGATGTACGTGATGCTTCGCCGATTTTGTCAAACCGGCTCATTGTAGTGCCAACTACTGGTGAGGAGGAGGTGATGTCAGATTTTTTTTTTTTTTGCCTTAAGTATCGGTGGTAAGTATCGGCATCATTTCCCTGATACCATGAAACCTTGCATCATGCCAATACTTGGATCTCTGCTCTTCGCCATTATTGCCAAATCGTTGATTTTATTCTCACATTCCAATTTCTAAGAGTACACTACAAAGTAACTTCAAGACAACACTAATAATTAACTTTCATTTTCACCTGATGACCTGAGTCTCGTAATATGGAGCGAAAATAGACTTTTTTTTCTGGTGAGTTTACTTTTTATTTTCCCAGAGTCGCTCAATACTTCACTATGAAACCCCCACCAGCCCCCAAATTGCCTTTTTTGTTATGGGTTCTATTTGGAGCACCTGTGGCTGTAAACGGCCAGGGTGTCTGCCGATGGAATTGAGGAGGTGGGGTGGGGGGCGGGGGGCTCAAGCAGCAAGGCACACAGATCGAGATCATCGCCAGTGGATCTCCGATCAACCGTTTTATTTCCTTACCCATGGCGTGTGTCGTGGGCATTTAATTTGGTTAAAGACCCCATTTCACCTCACTTCCACCGGATTAAAAATCTAGGGTTACCTAATCTTCTTTAATCGGAGTTAAATCTGTCTAATCGCCATAGAAAATTACACTCGCTGAGGTATAGCCGCCAAATAATCAGCAGAGGTGAAACCTGCGCGCTCTCCGGTCCCCTGTGGGGGGACATTTGGACGCTCCACACTCAGCCTGGACACACGCTTGCAGTCACGCACATGGCGCAAATCCCCTCACAGCATTGTAGTACCCCCCTCCTCTCGTGTATATATATTTTTTTTTCTCCCTAAATCACGGCTGGGCGTGGAATCTGGCACACACAAAGCGACGCTGCGCCAGAACGAACACTCACTCACCAGGCTTTTTTTTTTTTTTTTTGATTGAAGGATTGTGGAGCCTCAAATTGGGAGGAGAGAGAAGAAAGAGAGAGAGAGAGAGAGAAGGAGGGAAGGAAGGAGGGGAGAGTTGGGGGTCTCAATGCGATCACGATGGGGAGTGTATTGATTTCCTGAGCGCACTCCACAATTGACAGCATCTCTTGCCTGGCGCTCCACGGCCACGACGCGCACGTCACCTCCTCGCATTCATTTGCGGACGACGTGCGTGTCAGCTGAGCGAGAGGAGTGCATTTCATTGACATTTTTTGGTCTTTTTTTTTTAATGAGAGCTGACAAGTGGACGCCTGTTTTTTTTTCTTCTCGTTTTGTTGCTTGGAAATCCACCGCTTCGTCACGCCTCTTTATTCGAATTGCAGACGCCGGTACGCCCGCCGACTTGCTTCGT